AGCACCTCTGATGTTTCGGAGGTCCGTGTTTGCTCTGCTCCCATTTTGTATTGTTTTATGGACTTTGATATTGAATACTGTTGTTATCTTCATATCCAAATCACTATAAGAACACTTGCAAAACGCTAAATTTTCAGAAATAAATTTCATTGATTTCAATAAATTTTAAGTGACCTTGAAGGCAAGCTTAATTTATTTCGTATATTAGTCCAATTATTGCATTTTCGCAAATATCAGCTTGGTAAGTAGATTTCCTGATGGAGAATGTATCAATTTTAGAACATGTTTATTTGCAAGAGTCATTCAAAAAGGATTACTGCAATTTACATTGTGTTTTGGGTCTTTATGGGTTGCTTCTGTTGCTTGTAAATCTTGAACTAGGTTCACTTTTCTATATTTACTACAGTGGTCTCTCAATTAGATACCCAATTTAAATGTTAAAAATTATTTTAGACTGTAATGCAATAATTCATTTGGATGTTTTTGTCCTTACGGTTTTCCAAATACAGACAATGTACACTTACCTGTTCTTTATATGTATGAGAGGCGGGGTTACCATATCGTAATCAAAGTACTCAGAAGTACAGAGAGCCGGGCTCATTTACAGAGTAGAATGGATTTCTTACATGAATCATGTTTATATTCTGATGAAAAAATTATTTTAAAGCTATGTATCAATATAAATGATAAGACACTGACAGTGAGTTTTTCAATCCTAATACCACGGTCCGATTTTGTCAGAATCAAAATTAATCTGGTACCGCAGCTGAATGTAAACAAATAGGCCAGTCTGGTTCCCTCTCCTGCTTTACCTCGTATGTGTAGAGAACTACGGTAACACTGATTATCAAAAATCCTTACGCTAATGAACTATGTTCTTTGACTTATGAAGTTTTCAAAGTCATCACTACTAATGTTTATTTTATATAGATAAAACTTCGTTTTATTTTTGTTGCTTTATTTAGCGTTTGTATTATCTCAAAAGCGGCTGAGAGTAAGAACTATATTTTTGCACGTAACTTTGAAATGGCGACTATGGGGTTAACATCCTGCCTTGAACAGGATCACATAAGCCGGCAATTGCTCGTTGAGCAATAAGCCCGGCTAAAAATGAATCTAAAATTAGACTGGATGAACACCAATGAAATGTATTTTTAAAAAATACGAGATCATTATTTTCCATCTTCCTATTTAATCTGTGTGACAAAGGTAAAATATTTACAAGGGTTCGAGCTCATCAGTGTACGTAAAGAATATTTCAAATCAATGGATTATTATTTAACGTATTCGAACACAGTCTCCTAGTTAGCTTAACATGCTATCTATAAGTCACCTGACGGAAAATTACCTGAGGTAAGATATCACGTGGTAAATCAAAATATTTAACGTGTCACGGCCCTTGGTTAAAATAGAGAGAGCGAATGTAAGAAGAAGCAGGTTTTTTTCTCTTTAAACCATGGGCGCATGTTTGTCTATTCATCCCCTTTAAACACAACATTACTAAATGCAAATAAACAACTACTGTTGAAAGGAGAACAATAGACAAACATGCTCATAATATGTATAAAGTTTGTAAAAAAAGTGGACGCCCTTATTATTGTACTAAGATAACAGAACCTGTGATAACACACACCTCAGAAAACAGATTCGTATATCGTAGATACATACTTTTATTTATTATAATTGAGTAAAGTTGTAGATAAGATGCTGATCATTCCCGCAATAAAAGAAAATTGTCTATTTTGAAAGTTTATTTTCACGTTAATTTCGCAGATCCTAAAGTGCAGTCATCCTTTGTGGACAATGTACCTCATCATCACATTTTTATAATGTTTATGATCGACCCATTTTCACACGAGGAAACATCCATTTTGTTATTGTATGAAGCATCATCAAGGTATGAAATAAATTTGCTATGCTGTCCGCATATGCACCAGTTTTTGCATTAAATTACAAATTAAGCAATCAGTTACACTACATAGAAAAATATCATCTTTCCAACTTTGTCAAAAACATTATGAGTTACAAATGAGTTGTAGAGTTACGTAATAAATTGTATAATGCAATCAATACTTTCTGATTATTTTTCCCAAATTGTTTTGTCTGACAATATGACAGACAGAACAGACAAACAGACAGAATTAAGATGTATATTGGATCTAAAATGTTTCTAATGAATCTTAAAAATAAAATTATATACATACTTTTCAGAATATGAATCAAATGTGGATACTCAAAATTCTAAAGAACATTTGGACAATTTGAAATCACAAGAATTTTCCAAAATCAACAGCTTAAAAACCCACGACTTTTCAACTTTATACACAACCATTCCCCATGATAAATTAAAGTCCAGGCTTTTTGATATCATTGACAGCTGCTTTTATTTTTAATTTACTTACCTGTTCATTGGTCATTTGCAAAATTATTTTGTTAAAACAAATTCTGATTGCACACATAAGAACTCTTAAGTTGACATCAAAAAGATTCTTGAGTTTCTTATTGACAATATCTATATGGTTTTTGGAGACCAGGTATACCAACAATCTATTGGAATTGCCATAGGTACCAATTACGCTCCGTTATAAGCAGACCTATTTTTATATTTATATGAAGCAGAATTTGTCCAAAATCTAATGCATGAAAAGAAGAAAACAGTTGCTGTGGCCTTCAACTCGACATTTAGATATATCGACGACGCATTGTCAATTAACAACGCGGGTTTGTTAAGGCAGCACATGGATCAGAATTCGGCGAATTAACACTTTTTTATAATTATGCAACACTAATAAATCGGAAAAGTCAAGGATAAAACTTTTACAATAATTATGTATTCTATAGACTTCAATGGAACTTGTACTATAGGAGGCACTTCACCACGACGTCACCACGTGACGTCTATAATTAGAAAATATGCCTTAATGAAAAAGTGAAAAGTTTAACACTACCCCGGGGATAATTAGTTCCAATTTATATTAATAGTTATGTTAAAACATTTCTGTAACATGAAAAGTGCTGCTAGAATCCTACTGTCCTCTTATAGAAATAATTATTCAACAATTTCGGACGAAACCTTCCCAAAATTTTTACATCTTGTTCATAACATCGAAAAAAAATGCATCATTTCCCGTAACCCAAACGATTCTAGCAGCACTTTCCAAAAACAAAAGAATAAGAACTTTAGATAGAAACAAAAATTAAGTTTCAAGGTATGCGGCGTAGTGTTGAACTTTTGCATCTTTTTTGTTACGAACGACAGAGGAAAGGCTGATCGGCAAGTAAACACCCTCCCTGCTTTAATTTTACGAAGAAATTGCAGAATTATATTACCATACCTTATTCATACGCTTTATTCGCACAAGAATCACACATGATATTCATTCTAAATGCTTTGAAACTCCGATTTCTTGTGTTTGTTTACATCAATTTTCGTTACTTTTCACTTTCACTCTGCTACTGCATGATCAACAGTTATGACGTCACGGGTTTGGTATGTAACCCATGTGATAACTACAGAGGCCCAAGAACGACAAAATTCCGTTGATATTAATCCTCTGCTTATTTTGGTTCATTTTTTACGACCTCAAATCAATCTTAGATATCGAAATTGTTATCTCTAAATCTCACGTCATGTAGCTTATTATGACGTCATAGCATATAGGCAAGTAGAATATTTGGTTGTAACCTTAACCTACCTGCGAATTGTTATTCCCATTCTTACGTCGATACGATATATCCTGGTGAGCTTGAGATAAAAGATACCATAGAATCTGACACATCTGTTTCATACTTTAATATTTTACTTGAAAAAGACGTTAACGGTAATCTAACAACCAAGTTATATGATAAACGTGATGACTTTAACTTTTCCCTTACCTATGCAGCAACATACGTTTAACACCTGCATACGGAGTCTATATATCTAAGTTGATTCAATACGCAAGAGCATGCTCTACGTATGAACAATTTCTAAAACGAGGTTCATTATTAACAAGCAAGTTGTTGAAACAAGAATATCAACAATCTCGATTAAAGTTATCATTTCGTAAATTCTATGGTCGATACGACCTTTTCAGCAAATACAATTTATCATTGAGACAAATGCTTACAGACGTTTTTCACACTAATTGTTAGTCCATTATTCATACACTGAATTTACGACGGATTTCCGTTATTTCCCGATCATGACAAGGAGCTCATGGCGGGTGTGACCGGTCAGCAGGGTATGCTCATTCCTCCATGCCACCTGATTCCACCTCTGATGTTTCGGAGGTCCGTGTTTGCTCTGCTCCTATTTTGTATTGTTTTATGTACTTTGGTGTTGAATACTGTTCGTTATCTCTCTATCCTTCTTCATTCATTTTAAATGTTTTAGTATAGGAGAAACATTCTTGAATAAAAATCGTTTCAATAAGAAATGTGATTCAAGATCGTTTGTTATCATCCACGCTATTTTCAATATATTACATGTTTGCAGGTTTGAATTGTTTGAAGATTGTTTGAGATCAATAACTAGAATTAACCAGAATTGAAAACATACGAAATAGTCAAACGGGTGAATACATGTAATTACAATGTATATGATTACAATAAAAATATACATAATTAAACAATCATTCTTGTTTTCTAATTGTTAACATATTGCCAGCAAACTTTTATGCACTTCAAAGTATTGATTTTCATTTCACCGATAAAAACTCTTATAATTTTTGATTACTCAGAACAAAATTCCTCATCTAATAACTTCCTTCTAGGGGACTCGGCGTTTTGCCTCACATGCGCAATAACCAATTTTACTGAACAAAAGTCTGTAGCACCTCAATTTTAATGATCTTTTAAAAATGGGAAGCATCATGATTAATATGTTTTCCCCACTTTTTATATTTTTGGAGGTGGCCTCCCAGCAAACCTATTACCACAGGAACTTTCGTTTTAAATTTTCCGAAAAGCTTTCTAACACAGATTCCCAAACCATTTTCTCGGCAGAAGGAGTGTCTTATGGGAATACGTTAAGTGTGTGTACTAAGTTTTGCACCGAAAATTTTCGGTGTGTAGGAATAGAAATTTGTCAAGTAAGAGAGGACTTATTCCAGTGCCGAGTCTGCTGTGAATGGATGAAGATAGAGGGGAACTACACCACAAAACAGCCCGAATGTAAATACCTCGAAATGGTATTATTTTCATAATATTTTTTTTTAATATTTCTGTATTAAATCAGCCTTAAGACATTAAAATACTTGTGATTTTTTTCCAATAATATGCTAGCCAGCCAAAAAATAATCAGAAAAGAATGTATAGTATAATTTGTAAATTATATTTTTCCTTTTAATAGGAGTATGAAAAAGGACAAAACCGTAAGTAATATTTTAAGACAAAGGTTTAGCATAAATAAAGTCAAACAAAACTTAAAATCTAAGATGTTCCTGAGAATGTAATAGGCTGAAAACATACTCTTTTAATTGTTCAAGATATAATACAGTTTATATGCTTAATCATGAGGTCATGATTTAGCAAAATCAAAATACATGTATCTGTTTTATCTTGCGTCATAAACTTTTGCTGATTTCTAAGATTGGCACTATATGCCAAGCACATTGGCTTTAAATATGCTGAGACATGATTCCCCGCAATTTTATTTCTTCTGTTTGCTAATTAGTTGTTTAACATCCCTCTCGAAAAGTTTTCACTCATATGGAGACACCATCATTTGCCGATGGGAAGCTGCAAATTTTTACGCAGTTATGATAAGGCTGTCCGAAGGCTTAAAATGTCTTAAAACATACATTTTATTTTGAACTAGATTTTAATTTCAATATGTTATCCTTGTTTGAAATTGCAGTCAACTTGAGATAACAGTTTAATCAGGTATTATAATAAAGCATTTCTGTGATGTCAGATGACTGTGTTGATCACGTGACGGACATTTTTGATAAAAAAAATGTTGCACAAAAATCGCATCGGCACAAGTGCATAACACAATTATTGTGCAAAGTTTGTTATATAGATCAATTCATCGTGATCCATGGTACTTAAAAAGTGCTGGGGGCAGGTTTAATTTTTTCTTCTTAAGAAAATAGTTTACGATAAATTAAAATTACCAACGTAAGAAGGGGTATTTTCCACTCATTATCGCGATTTATACAAAAGCGGATAAAATACATACGATCCCCCAGCAAAGTTCAGTTAGAAGACATACTTCTCTTTTAGATTCACGCAAAATATCTTCAATTTATCCTCGTCTTTCACTTGTGCCAGTCCAATATAAACACGATTCATAAATTCTAACTCTGTCTACGGAAGTGTAAGGGGAGCGTTTCAAACAGAAATTTTTGCTTTTGCTTGAATATATGCAAATCGGACAAGCAAAAGGAATAGAGATATTTAAATATCAAATGTTAAACATTATAACAACACTCACAAGCTTAAAAAACAAACCTTACATTTGAATTAATCAACAAGTCCCCAGAATAAATCTACATGCCGTGTAACAATTATGACACTTTCCCCGTCATGTCAGCTCAAGTATGCAGTGACTTGACGTCATATTCTATTATGACGTCATATCTAGGTAGTTCAGGGAAGTTACTACAGTTTGAACAGTTTGATATTTTACGGGCAGCCTTATCCTAGCTGCGTACCTATACCCCGCACTCAGGGTCATTTAGCAGTGAGGGATCTGTATCGATCCAACACTTCATATACACGGGACTTCGGTATAGAAAAGAGAAAGAATGCTTAAATTCGCACATATTAGAATCATGTCTTCATATTGACAATTTAAAAAAAAAATAGATAATTAAAAAAGTTTTTTTTTTTCTGATTCCTGATGACAATATGTCAATATGTTTGTTTGTTTATTCATTTATTCTTCAAGCTGAAGCCATATGGTTCATCGAAATACATAATCAGCTTATATAATTACAAAATACAGAATTTAAAGCACATAACGAATAAACATACATACTAAATATTCATATATACTTGTTTAAATAAGTAGACTTTAATATGGATTTATCTATTTACTAATTATATTGTATTTCATTTCCAAAAGTGGTGGCGACAACAGCTAGTTTAAGTTCAGTGTTTGGTGACTTTAGTAACTATGCCTTATTTAAGGCTTCGAATGCAATAGATGGAACAAAAAGATGTGAAGAAGGCAATACTACTAATGTAGCTCACTCCAAACCGCAGATTAATCCCTGGCTTAAACTCAACCTTATCAACACCAGCATTGTTGAAAGAGTTTTGATTTACAATAGACAACACTGCTGTGGTAAGAATTATACTTAAATACTTGGGTAAAAAAATACATATGATTATTATATGTAAGTGAAATACAAAATTGATACATAATGATGTTTCACCATGAAAGATTGCTACGTCCAGTTCTCTGATTCTATAATAACAAAAATGATTTATTATATTATTTACTTATTATTTACTTGTTAAAGATTGATATGTATCATTTTAGTTCTATTTAAAGGATGAGTTGTTTCTATGACTCTCTTCAGTTATTGATTATGACATTAGATAAATCAACTTATTTTCTTAATTTAATTGTTGAATTTTTTTTCTAGTTGGTATTTTTTGCATGATTTTATCTCAAAAATTAAAACTCTATCTTTTGTTTCTTATTTCCACAATTTTTATTGAAAATCAAATTACAATTGCCGGCATGGGACTAGGAATGCTTATGTAATACTATAAAATGTTTAGTTCTAAAGAGTAATGTATAATGGATTAACAATGTCAATAGATAAAAAAATAAAAATACGACATGTTTAATAAAACAACAGAACCAATTGTATTAAATAATGATTTTTATTCTTTATCTATGACTGGGAAAGCTCAGTGTTTCTATTGTCTGAAAACCATGGTCTTTTGACAAACCAGACATTAAATACTGTGTTATGTAAAAGAAAACTGTCCGGCAATCAAGCAGATCAATTTTTGAGTTTCTATGAAAAGTTTTATAAATTGACTTGTTTTCCTCTGAAATAAATTTCATGGGTAGAATTTTATTACACTGTATATGAAACAGAAGTAAACAAAATAAGTCCTTCACAAGACTTTCTTAATTAATAATAATTATAAGAAATAAAAATAAATATATAAATAATATTTTCAACACAACATTCCCTGCGGCACTCCATTCTAATATCTTCAAAAATATTCAGCTTTATTTTTTTTTTTACAGGAGAACGACTACATGATGTACAGGTAGATGTCGTAGACAATGGAAGAAATGTTTCATGTGGTTTCTATCCCGGGCCGGCCGCCATTGGAGATCGTATCCTGTTTCTGTGTGAGAGGGAAACCAGAGGAAATGGAGTTACCGTCTCTATATTATCAAAAGACGGACAACCCGACACTCTTCATGTTTGTGAAGTAGAGGTCTATGGCCGATCTTGAGAAAAACTTAATATTCACTTGGTGATGTTGATAAAAAACAGTTTGTACAATTATGTACGGTACCTGTTTTATGCAGTGGATTACATTAAAATTTAAGCGCATTTTAACAGGTTTTTGATTATCATTTAGGTAGTGCGATTTTAATGTTATTATAAAGGTCATGAATCCTTCTGAAGAGAGAAATGTGCTCACGTTAAGTATGCAAGCGTTAAATGACATTAAAAAAAAATCACAATGTTAATAACCTAAATGTTTACTGGTATTATGTCGTCGTTGTTGATAAATAATGATCCATGCATTAATTAATGTTATTTATTCAACTTAATTGGTAATTATTTTAGTTTTTGCTGACGAGTTCAAATAAAAAAATACTTCTTTATGTTCTTGTTTCGTTTGTTTGCTTTGTTGTTCTAATTTCCTATTCTTCTTGCAATCCATTGAAAACGTAGTTGAAAATACTATAGGTGCTGTGAATTCTGGCATTTATTTTGACTATTAATATAAAGTTCATTTTTTACGGACATGACAATAAAGGGTTATTAATTTGACGTCACAATAGCGACGTCTTTTATTCCTGTTGACTTTTTAAACTGTGTTATAGGCCTATCATTGCTAACAGTCAATAACGTATACAGTTTACAAAAAGAAAAAATAAACCTATTAAGAATTAATAACAGCTTTGTTTGATTTCTAGAATTTCTTTAAATTAGAATTCTCTTCCGTTGGTAGATAATTGAAAACAATTTCAAAACCCCGAAAATATGCTGGTATAAGGGCAAAAGGATATCATAAAATTCAGCAAAAGATAGCGACTTAAATCAGGAAAATATATTTACGTTTATATTTAAGAATTACAAAGTACTAATTTTATTGCCCCAATCCATGAGCTTTTTAATAACCACTCGTATTTCATAACGTTTAAATTTCATGATCATTATCTCCAATGAATTGATCAAAACTAAATGTACCATAAAGTTTAACCTCCTGGAACTAGGAAATATCTAAATGGACTACTGAAAAAAATTGAAATGCATTCAAAGTATTTGTTTTCATATGCCAAAAATATAAGAGAGACGAGATATGTACATTAAAAGTCATTGTCGATTTGTGGACAGTGTGTTTAAAGTTTGTTACGTCGTTAACTGACGTTGGTCATGTGTGATAGATGTTGAAGTCCGATAAGCAAACATGCTGTTATAATCATGTGAGAGTCTTTCACTATACATAGATTTATTTACAAAATTATATGCATTAAAATCAGCTGTTCATGACATTGTACAATTAATTAAAACAGGCCCGGTTTAAATATTCAATAATTATAAGGAATTTCATCAAGATAAGTATATGATGTTGAAAATGCTGACTCAAGAATAATTACGTCATGAAACTCAATGGCGACAGCGACGGGTGAACATATAATGCCTTCTTTATTTTAGGATAATTTGATAAATATTCAGGGTATCAAGCTAAAATTTTCAACATTTCTTTATCTTTTGTTGTTTGATGTTCCTTTAAAAATAATTCTGTAAGCATAATATTAATTTTATTGCATCAGTCAACAATTTTTTTAACACTCTAGGTAGATTTCTACTGTTGTCATAGTTTTATTTTATAATATCATTACTTAAAGATACCATTTTTTGTCACTTCAAAGTGCACATCAAGTCATGACAAAATTTAAAATTTCAAAAGTAGACAACACTTTCAAAATTCAAAAGTCAATAAATAAATTGTTTATATCTAAAGAAGGGAATTTTCACTTGGATTACACATGGGAAATATGACGGCCCTGGAACAAGAAGTTATTTCCAAAGTTGTGTAAATTCTTTCAAAATTGGGTCATCCTCAAAGTCACAAGGTCAATGTTTAAATGTATGGACAATGTTCAAGCTTCTATGGACAACAGACAACCAGATTGACATACAGACAGACGGATTGGCAGGATAAAAACGTCCATAAACATAAGGATATTTTTGTTAGCGATGGGAGATTTTCATAATCTTTACTAGCTTTTCAAAAAAATATAACTTTTTAATGAAAAACACTTGTAAAATACTAAACAATATTTTAAGTATTTATAGACATACTAGAATTACATGCATTTATAGATGTGTTTGTTGTTCATATCGTAGAGAGAGAGGGGGAGTAGAGGTGGATAAGGATAGAGAGCATGTGTGTCGGTGGATCGGGAATTTGCACAATATTTGATACCAGTCTTTATTATTATGCCTTATCGGATATAAACATTGTACTTGTATATATCAAGTCAACTGTTTAAATTCTAATTATAATCCTTGAGGAAGGAAATCGGTCATAAAGATTGTCAATAACGATTGCAATATAGCCAAACTACAAGCGGGCATTGAATTTAACACTGTGATTTTTGGTGATGAAAAGTACAATAATGTTATTCTGGAACATTTATACTTTATATTCGACCTCGTTCTTCGTCTTCGACATTATACTAGGCAAAAGGTGAATAATTCTCTTGATTAATTATATTTTTTTAAAAGGAAAAAGAGTGAGACAATATGGATTTTTGAAATTTCATACTGTTTTATGATAAACAATTTAATGTCACGAATGATATCGATAAATTTCATTGTTATTTGCTTATGTGAAATTTTAGACAAGGGGGATTGCAATGTTCCTATGGACATGAATGGGACTATACACTGGAAAAATGTGTTTGTAAGTACATATATATATATATAATCATAGATATAATAACATTGAAAGATCAGAATTTGTTTTCAAATTACACATGAAAGGATTATTGTAAGCAAATGACATATAATTCTAATTAAGCGAGGAAGTCTATTTCAAAAGCTTGCAAAGACGGATTTTATGGAGCAGATTGCAATACACCCTGTTCAAATGGACGATATGGTAAACATTGTGAGCTGATATGTACGTGTGCAGAACAGGACTGTCACCACATTTACGGCTGCAAAAAAAATCCATCGGGTAACATCTGTTATTATATTACCATTAACATTAAAATATCTTGCATTTTGTTTTATTTCATTTTGTTGAAAAAATATTATTTATACGCTATTTTCATGATACATGTATCTTACTTTTTTCGAAATTTTTTTACATAAAGAACTTTTTTCTTAAATTTGATACTTATCTAGGTTGCTTTGTGTGTTGGATTTGTAATGTTATATAATGCTATTTACCATAAAAGCCCTAGTTGTTTTTGGATTGTTTTGTTTTCACGTAATAAAGACATATTTGCATTTTTTTCGATGTTGAATAGAATGTGAAGTTGGGAAAATCGGTCTTTATTGTGAGCTACCATGTCCGTATCCAGCTTTTGGGAAGCAGTGCCAGAGAAAATGCGATTGTGGGCAGCAGCATTGTGATACAAAACATGGATGTATAGGTTGTATATTTTTTTCAAGCAATAATGATTGATAAATAGTAATATGTCAAATACACTAAATGTAATCACAAAAAGCATGTTTTTCCGAAGGTTTGTAGCACTAAAAGTTAATATAATTATCTTATTTGATTAAGCCACCATTGATCATTTTCGAAGCCCAGGTAAAACAATATTGCTTTTCTATACAGTATTGTCAGTGCAGATATAGTTCTCATTTTTTATTGCTATGATATCTTACTTAGGTGCATCAACTCTTAATAAAGAACACATCACGAGTACCAGATTTCATGTTTTTTCTTCTATCAGCCAGAAAACAGAAGGTAAAGTTAATGCACTCAGATCAGGACATCAGTAGTAAACACTCTACTAAGATTTTAACACAATTAAATATAATAATAAAATGAATGCTTTGACATATAGACCAACATAAATTTGTAAAGAAATTACGCCTGTTAATTAGATTTGAAGAACTCATTGTTATAGCGAGCGCAGCGAGCGTCGAAAAGCGACGATCGTCACTGCGAGTTCTTAAAGCAACGCATGTGCGAACAGAAAATTCGGACTACTGCACACTCATTCGATAGAATTTTTGACGCAGTAATTTGGACCCACAAGGCATCACTTGTTTTAGCTACGTTCTCGCAAAAAAAACGGCAAATGTTTAACAAAAAGTTTACTCGCCTTGATTTAATGGATACATAATGAAAATAAATAGTAAACGAAACGTTTTTCATTAACTTTCAGCACTTTTCAGTTTTTTCTTGGTATTGCAACTTATCACGTACGACGTCATGTGAAGTCAGAATCTAGACGCACCAAATGTCGCGTGCGGTTTGTCGAGCCCGATCTAAATTAAAAGAATAGAAGTGTTTACGCTCTCTGTAACGGTCGCACGTCAACATATTAACTTAAACAATATAATTCTTAAAGATCTCACTTAAAATACCAATTGATCTGAATAAGACGTAATGATGCAAAAGTTAAAAAGTTTTTGCACCCCGTACAAAACTTTCACTGATTAAGACGTTATCTATACCGGTGAAGGGCTTTTACATAACACCCGTACGCAGTACTCAGGGCCATTGAGCAGTTTTATTAGGATCATTAGAGTGCCAATTTCTAGCGTGATAAGTGGCCTCAGGTTTTTTTTTTTAAATTCTCATCCGAAAGACCCATAACCTTTATTTGAAGAACATATGATACAAAAAAGAAATCAATACCTAGATTGGTATCTATATTAAGGGTTTCACTGTCTAGCTCGTTAGTTTGTTGGAACATCAATTGAAATAGGAGATAATTTGCATTCTTGGACGCTATAGGCAAATCTTATGCCTTTGTGGCACCTGACTTCACCCTTGAAATTTCGATAAGTCAGTATTCTTACAAGATAATTTGATTTTTTTCTGATTTCTAATAATGCATTATTTTAATTAAGTTTGAAAATGTCTTTAATTGACAGAAAATGCATCGGAAAACCTCGGGAACCATCCCATGTCTGCTATAATGTCTGAGAATGCGACTGAAAGCACGAAAAAAGTACTACTGACTGTTATTATGGTTCTTATGGTTATTGCTTCAATATTACTGGTGGTATATGTGTGGACATTTTTCTGGAAAGTTCCTTCTGAATCAGTTCCTTACAATGTCTGAGTACTTTGTTATAAATAGACAGGTTATTATTGTCAAAAAGATTATACGTTATCATATGAAAAAAAAAATTCTATTCACTTCACTCTCAGGTATGTACATAATTGTAAAAGCATTTCCATCGACAATATTACTTATTTCAATACAAAGTTCAACAAACTTGCAATGTACAAATTTACCATTTTTTTATTCAAAAGTTTTGTTACAATTATTGTCTGATACTACCAGTGCCACAAAGGTTAATTATTATTTATTCAACAAATTTTTGTACAAATTTACAACACATTAAGCTTATCATTTTTAATTTGAAGTAAGTTTTAATTTGAAAGGTCATTTGTTAATTACGATGTCTTTTTCAGTTAAATAAAACGTTGGATTGACAATAAGCCTGCAAACTTCTATGATAATAACACTTGAACTTCTTACTTGGGTTTAAAGCAATAAGCATAGGAGACAATCAAATTAAAGTGCCAAAATATTGATTTGTTTAATTCTCTAAATTTTCAATCCAAAAATGGTTTTTATTCCGCAGCATAATTTTCACTGATTAAGGTTACAAATGTAACAAAGCAATTGAATACCCATAGAAATTGTAATACAATGTATCCATAATGGATAGGACTGGGCCCTACACAGTACCAATGCTCTGAATTCACAGATATAAAAAAATGTAATGTTTTAAATCAACATGTTGGGGACATTTTTATTTTTTTATTTACTTGTCTTATACTTGCAGTTTAGAGGTCATCTATAAATTTTGATATTGCAAGGGAAACCAAGTTAAAAATTTTAATTTATAATTCTTTTCAACAATATATAGTTTGTGAAAATGCTGGAAACCTATATAGATTTCCCTTTTTTAATTGCTAAAATTTATGTAAAACGACTTCACCCTTGAAACGTTACATTAAATATAGCTATAATTAATTTATTTGCAAGATTTCATAGGTAATCGCAGCACTTTTCAAATATCTTAATGATTAAGTTTGTACACAATGAGGGTATGCCCTTGCAATAAATCAATTAGGGCCCTTCCATTACTTTTTCAATGCATCTGCATACAAACACACGACAGTATATGTAGTACAGTTTATAAATAAAATACTCAAATAGACATCAAAAGTTAACGGCTTTTTAAACTGTGCCAAAAAAGTGATTGAGCCTCTTTGTTTCATTGACGTCATTACAAATTGCGATCGATGCATCGTTTATATACTAACAAACGACAAAACTGCAAATAGTAAGTTTTTTGTAAATATCAGCTGTTTGAAAAAGCAAATAATTTCAAATTTTGACAATATTATATTAATACGTCAGTAAACATTTCCCGTATTCAAAGTTTGTTAGACCCCGCCTTCTTATTGTAACCTTAACTGTGCTGCCACAAAGGTTAATTATTTTAATTATGAATTCTGTCATGATACAACCGAATGATTTTTTTTATAATAAACAAATCTTATAAATTCATTTGTATTTGTAATATTGGAACGTTAAGATTTTTTATGTCAAGGGATTTAATATTGTATTGTAATTGTATTTTAAACGTTGAATAAAATTGTTTTTATAAACTTAATTTCAACAATTCTAAATATATAAGGGCTGAGAATATTGCATTAGCTAATTCATTTTTCCCAATCAATTTGAATCAATTAAAAATTTATTTGTAATTGTAATATGTTAATTTCGTTAAGATTGTTCATAATTTTTGGTCAGTAATGTCAAGGAATTTAATGTTGTATTGAAATTGAATAAAATGCAAACTTCCTCCATACATAATCAATGTTTAGTATAATAATATACTAAATTATAAAAATCAAAATTAGCAGAAAAAAATGCGGAAATTCAATACCAAAAGAGACCATAATCGATCATAGTATACGTTGTATATGAATTTAGAGTAACTAAAGCAATAACTGTTTTATAAAAATTGAAGTCATTTTTATTTTATTTTTCTTATTACTCCTTAATTAAATTGATTATATTTTGTTTTTACATTTTAAATTTAATTCGATTTGGAATTTTTTTCTAAAGAGATCAATAATAAGGCATAAAAGTGTGTGTACCCGGAGAGAATGGAGACGTCGATTCCTTTCCATTTACACCCGACCCCATCTAAAACTTGTTGTTGGCAGGCAGTCGAGATTTGAAACTGTTTTTAATAATTTCTTCTGTTAAGATTTTAGGAAATTGTTAATTTGTTTTTTGTTATCTTTACTTTTTTCAGTAAGAGATTTATTTAGAAATTCTGCCAAAATTGTTAAGAAAAGGATTTTATTTCAATTCTAGCATGCAGACATTATTTTCCTTAACATTTAATTCCTGGCAAAGTCAACTCTTTAAACTTTTATTTCACTGTAGTACATGTATGTTCTATTTTGGGCACTGGTAGGGATTGATTTTTGTTTTATTTCTTAAATTAAAAAAATCGTGACTCTTGTATATTTTCATTGAACATTTGTTAAAGTGGAGGTTTTATTGAGATTTGTATGTATTTTAAAAATATTTTTAGTTTTTAAAAAAAAAAACAACATCTGAATTCCCCGCTCCTAATTATGGCATCACTGCCTAATATACCGAAAATTCTTTACACAAGATAAAAAACAAAATGTATATAAGTTTGTTTTTTTTTTATTTTACAAGGCTCGTGATTTTATTTTACTTTTTGAGTGAAATGACTTTCCTTTTCAGACACTGTTTTATTGCAGAGAAATAAAATAAATTTCCGTGTCTTAATGAATGTTTGTGCATTATCGGAAATGATTTGAAGAGGAAACTATCAACAATTCGACTTAATATTACCAACTCAAAACATATATTTGAAATACAAAAAAATAATAAGGGAATTTTATTTTTTTTTTAAAAATTCATTAATCTCAGAGGAAATTATGCAATGTAGTTTGCAATTTGGGTGGATTAAACTTATTTGGGTTTTCTAAGCATATCAAGAAAAGATTATCCTTCAAAAAAACATCCACACATGTGCAAAACAAATATTTTTTATTATGAATTCACACGCGCAAAAATTAAGGAATATCATAATTTCATTCACATTTACTTTAATTTTCTATCAAATATTATCTCAGACTTGTTATTAAAGTCTACAGGATCATTAATACACAGGAACAGCCTAAATCACTTGAATACACTGATATATATTCATATTATAGTTTTTTTTTTTTATTTTATGGGAAATTTTGCAAGTTCATCTTTGATCAAATTGATGTTAAAACAAATGCTCATAAATTGTTTGCTGAATTTCTGACAATGTCTTTGTAAAATTTCTTTAACTATTGATACTGGATTTTATTTAACAAAAAGTGGCTAGTTCAAATTCATTGATTTTTGAAAACGGAACTGCCATATCGAATACATCTAATGCAGTATATGAAATAACAGAATGTTCAACAGTCGATAACAAACACAAAAGTTAGCATCAGAAAGTATGTACATACTGTTAAGAATATTATCTACTATTATCTACATATATTTGATACTTTCGTATTAAACTAAATAAAAACTAACTCTTGTATGCTAGCAATTTTAGGGTGGCATCTTTTATTTGATTATTTTTTGAATACACAAAGCGGAATAATGTCGTAACAAAAATAAACACTTCAATCGTATATTTCCACATTTACAGAAACGTACAAAATAAGAGGTCATCGTACATGTAAGACGACTTCATCCATTTTTATTTGTATAAGAATAGAAGACACACTCCTGAATATAGTGAGTTACAATAAGGAATGTGATTCAAAATCGTTTGTTATCATCCACGCTATTTTCAATAATAATAGGCTATATATGTCATTTCATCATCACTTTCCTCTCCACAAATCAATTCTCCCAAACTTTTCTCTGAAACATATAACTGGAATAAACTTCCAAAGATTTTCAAAATGAGGGGAATTATGATCCAGCACATGTCAACAAATGAGATGAATGTAATCACTGCACGCAAAAGGTCTTTGAATGTTCGCATTTCAACTAACAAAGTTTAAACAGCATTCCAATCAAACTCTGGTGTTGTTGTAAAAATATATAAAGCAATGGTCAAGGAGAGACTTTAAGGACAGATGATACAAACAATTTTTGTCCAAAAAATTAAAAATAACAGCTTGAGTCAAGCTTTAATGAGTTAAATGAATAGATTTTAATTTTTTGTTTAATTTTTTTTTACTAAAATGGGATTTGAAGTGAAAAATATTTGTATAGATTAATGAGGATGGTTTCAAAGAAGCAGAACTTTGAATATCATAGACGGTTTACGATTTCTTTATATTCTAGAAATTTATTATTTGCATCATTTTCAATGAAATTTTGAAAAAAATTTTTATCAATATACCTGTTCTGTTAATTCTACAGTTCTTGTTACAGTTCCCACACCATGCCAATGCACCCCCAAAATTAGGCACACGCACTCGGGATACTCGGCTTCATGAAAATATTGTACCCAAAAACAAGTCGTAAAAAAATATTTCCCATAACATTCCAGTACAAAATACAATTAGTTGCGTTGATTCTGTTGGTTGAGGAACGGTTAAACAGTTTTTGTCGCCCGCTTTTCCAAAATTAGAAATTTATTTAATCGACAATATGCTGTAACATTCCTCATTGACACAATAAACTCCTTTTTTCTGCCATTTTTGAAACTGTAAACAATCTATTTAAAATTCTACGGAAATTACGTAACAAAGAATGTATAATCCAAAATACTAAAAATAGAACAGACAACAACACCGTTTGAAGGTAACCAATAGTTTTATTCTACGGTATTTTTTTTAATCGCCGCCATGTTGACAATTTTAATAGAGAAATTCATAATTGATATCATCAGCTGTTACTGTCAGAATTCCATATTCAGAAGTATCCAGAGCAAATCCAATATAACAAAGAACAAAAAATCTAGCTTTTCTACTAAATGTCGTATTAAAACATTTACGTAAAGAAAAATCTAAAAACAGCATTGTAATATCGCAGACCAATAAATCACCATCACAATCACAATCGCATATTGTATAGAAATGTTTTCAATATTTTTACTTGTTTTAATCCAAATTGTAATGGCTAGTTCTCTAGTATTAACTTAATTCCATTTTTTGATTCAAAATCAAATTAAAACCTTCTTTCATAAGGTATACCAAATGTGCTTAC